ATATCTATCTATCTATCTATCATCTATCTCATATCTGTTCATATCTATCTATCTATCTATCAATCACATCTGTTCATTCTATTCATCTATCTATCTATCAATCACTATCTATCTGTTCTATCTAGTCTATCTATATCTATCTATCTATCTATCTATCTATCTATATCTATCACAGTCTGTTCATATCTATCTATCTATCTATCTATCTATCTATCTATCAATCACATTCTGTTCATATCTATCTATCTATCTATCTATCACATCTATTATCTATCTATCTATCGCATTCTGTTCATATCTATCTATCTATCAATCACAGTCTGTTCATATCTATCTATCTATCTATCTATCCAATCTAAAACCTTTACCTCTTAATCAAGTCAGTAATTTAGACTTTCAATATGCAAGAATGGATCAAATAGTCTGTAGATTCTGCGAGTACCACCGAGTGGCGAAAGTAATTTCTAAAGAATTAAGCGATGTCCGGACGTGTTTATTGCTTCAAACGTTATTAAAGTAGACTACGTATTTGAAATAGAAATTAAAAGCGAAAGATGACAGCGTCTAGTCTGGTTAAGAGTCTATGGAGATCTTCCGCTTTTAATTTTAGACACCCCAACCTTACCATGACTGGACATCTGTGAATTGTAACTGAGATATTGATACAAACCATTAACACCTTACGCCCCTTTTCTTTAAGCAATCGCTCTAGCCGTTACAATAGAAATTTTGATTTCAATAATGAATATACTTATAAAACGCGTAAATTTTAGAAATAAGTTATTCCCAAAAAAATTTCGCTTGAAGATGGAACAGAGCTTGGCACTTTAATTCAATTTAATTCAAATAATTATATTGAAGTTTTCGGCTCTTGTTTTGAAACATGAGAACTCTTATGTAGCGTGTGGAATCATATTTTATAAATAAATAATTATATTTATGCTCTACTTTTGTATCGAGCACTATTTTTTAAAAATAACAAAAATACTAAAGAACTTTGGATTATTTACCTAACGAGTTCTTTCCTATTTTCTATATATTTCACACACACACACACACACACACACACACACACACACACACACACACACACACACACACACACACACACACACACACACACATATATATATTCCGAGTGTAACATCAAAATTGTCGAAATCGTGTAACAGCAAAATTGCCCAATTGTTAGATTAAATTTTGAATCGATATATGTTAGAAATGATTAAAGATATCTTACTGAAATTCTCCGAGGATTTTATAACACTATTGAACTCTACTTTGAACACTAAGAATGTATTTAGTTGAAATGATGATCCCTCTTGCCGTTGTGACCTCCTGATCTCCTGCTCCCTGTTTTTTTAAAAACTTATTCACCGTTCTTTTGATGATTCTTAAATGGATTTTTAAGATCGAAGCCAGAGTATGAATGTTGGTACCATTACTGAAGGCCTCAATGATCTTTTCCTCTCACCATTGCTCAGTTGTGAAGATATTAAACATTTTGTGCAATGGACAATTTTCCCATGCTTTTACACGATTTGGACAATTTTGCTGTTACCCAGCCATTTTATTTTTAACAGCCTATTTTACTTTTTACCGACCCATTTTATTTTTACCCGCTAATTTTACTTTTTACCAACTCATTTTATTTTTGCCAACCTATTTTATTCTTTAGCAATCGGTTTTATTTTTACCGCCCTATTTTACTTTTTACCGACCCATTTTAATTTTTACCAGTACATGTAATTTTTACCGACCAAATTTTATTTTTAGCAGCCCATGTTATTTTTACAAAGATATTTTACTTTTTATCGGTGCATTTTTATTGCCGTATTCTATTTTATACCAGCACATTTTATTTTTACCTACCTATTTTACCTTTTACCGACCACTTCATTTTTACTAACCTATTTCATCTTTTACCAACTTATTTTACTTTTTACCAACCTATTTTCCTTTTTACCAACCTATTTTCCTTTTTTCTAACCTATTATATCTTTCGTATAGTAAAAGATTTACAGGTCGAACGGTTTTCTGAATCTACGATTTGTTAATAAAAATAAATTTATTTGTTTTAAGACCAACATAGAATAAATATCTTAAATAAATACTGAAGTTATAAATAAATAAGTTATAAATAAATAAGTTATAAATGAATAAGTTATAAATAAATAAGTTATAAATAAATTATAAGCATTGATTTATAATTTCAGCCATAAATAAATACCTTAAGTTATACAAATGAGAGAAAGAATAGACGGAGTAAAAATCCACTGTTCGTAGCATTTACTTTTTAAAAAGTGCTCAATACAAAGTAGAGCAATATATTATTATTTTATTATTATAAGAGACTATAATAGAAACCGGTTGAAATCGCTACCCAAAAGCTTTCATGTTTCAATAATATGATTGTACTTCTTCAGGAGATGGTATCTGACGATTAAATGATTTTTAAGGAAATTTAAAAACAAAGTGTTACTTCTTTTCCGAAAGTTAAAGTTAGTTGGAACATGAGGTCAGTATTAAAATTAGACTTGTGGGTATGTCTTGATTAACCAATTAAATGTCAGATCTGCGCTAAATAAGTTCAGAGGGCGGAAGTGGATGAGTTATTTTTTCATGTCATGATAAACCGGAACGTAGACAGGGGATGGCGGAAAATATGTCAACGACATATTTATCGCGATTGTAGGCAAATAAGGCATGATCAATGTTTTGAAAAGGCGTTGAAATAAACCAACCACCTCCATCCTCTAAGCTTACTTTTCTATTTAGCGTAGACCTGCCATTTAATTCGGAACAAAAAAAAAAATAATTAAAATATCTGATGATACGTTGCTCTTAGTAAATCGAGAAATAAGAAGACTGAAATTACTGATTGAATCAACGGATTGCCAAGTATTACTCAGACACTCCAAAGCTTACACAAACATATTGTGCTTTGGAAACTTTTGCAGTAAACTAAATTTGTTTGTAAATATGTAACATTTATGAGGCTAATATGTGGATATCTATCCTGGGGTGTTTATAAATTGTACACTTTTCTATTATTGACGTTAACAACGAACTATTTTAAGTTGCAAAATTGTACTTGGTTGGTTGGTTGTTTTGTTTTATGGCATATCAAAACCTCAGTGGGTCATTTAATGCCAACACAATTTTGAAATGAAAATAGATTCATAGCGATAGTTTGGTAAAAAAAAGGAGTGTATGTATACTTATATATTTGAACCATTTTTCAATTCCTCATATTTTTTTAGTACAATCGCATGTATTGCTGGTAATTTTTTTTTTTCAAAAAAGTATTGCTGGTAATATTTTTTTTTCAAAAAACGTTGCTGGTAATAGTTTATTTCTTCAAAAATTAATTTCTGGCAATAATATTTTACAAAGTATTTCTGGTATTAAAACCTACTTTTACACTTTTATAATGCTTTTTTACCTCAGTTTCGAGATTAACTATTTACCCATAGCAGGTGCTACTACCCTGAGTCAGGGATGACCTGGGAACACCAGCAATTAAGAGCTGGTTCCACGCTACTCAAAACATCCTTATCAGATGCCATGGACGTAGTTTGTCGTCATACACAGTACGCAAATTGTACTTGGGTTAAATGAAAATTATTTTTAAATTTCCGTTTTTTTTTTTTTGATTTCCGTTTTTTTAAATTTCCGGGTTTTAAATTTCCGTTATTTTAAATTTTTCGGTTTTTTAAATTTCCGGTATTTTAAATTTCCGTTTTTTTTTTTTTTTTAAATTTCCGGTTTTTTATTTTAACTTTCCGATATTTTAAATTTCCGAATTTTTAAATCTCCGGTATTTTAAATTTCCGTTTTTTTTTAAATTTCCGTGTTTTTAAATTTCCGGTATTTTTAACTCTCCGATATTTTAAATTTCCGGTTTTTTTAAATTTCCGGGTTTTTAAATTTCCGGATTTTTAAATCTCCGTTTTTTTTAAATTTCCGTGTTTTTAAATTTCCGGTATTTTTAAATCTCCGGTATTTTAAATTTCCGTTTTTTTTTTTAAAATTTCCGGGTTTTTAAATTTCCGGATTTTTATATCTCCGTATTTTTTTTTTTAAATTTCCTGTTTTTTAAATTTCCGGATTTTTAAATCTCCGGATTTTTAAATCTCCGGTATTTAAAATTTCCATTTTTTTTTTAATTTCCGGTTTTTTAAATTTCCGGATTTTCAAATCTCCGGTATTTTAAATTTCCGGTTTTTTTAATTGTTTTTTAATTCTTCAAAAATTAATTATTTCTTCCGTTGTTAGACCTTTTCTCATAAATCGTCTATTTGACAATCCCCCACCAACCTGCTTTCGTCTTTATTAGCGACTTGAAATCACGACATCCATAGAACTGTCAAAACAGGAACACGACCTCACAGGCGCGCCGTCGCCTCTCTCTGTCTTCTTTACAAATACTTTCATGGTAATTGCTCCTCGGAGCTGCATTCGCTGGTTCCCAGGCTTCATGAATTCAAGCGCCCTATGAGGCTGGCATCCCGCTCTCACCCTTTCACTGTCGAAACTACTAAATGTAGCCGTCATTTTGTTTTTCTTCAGCGATACATATTGTAAGAATAACAACCGCAGTCATTGGACGAACAACCATAGTGTACATATTGAACAATGACATTAAAAGATGTAACAATAAAATTGCACAATGCCCTGTAAAAACCTTGAATTACTTGGAAGGCATATAGCACTTTCGTTAGTTAGGAAAGGTTTGGAGAGGAAGGTTTGGAGAGAAAGGTTTGGAGAGGTGTTTTGGAGAGGAAGGTTTGTCGAGGGGGTTACAGAGGAAGAATTGAGAAGGGGTTTGTAGAGGAAGGTTTATAGAGGAGAGTTGGAAAGGAAGATTTAGAGCGAAAGGTTTGTACAGTGGGTTTGGAGAGGATATTTGTAGAGGTATATGTAGAGAGAAAGGTTTGGAGAGGGGTTAGAGAGGAGGTTTTGGAGTGGAAGTTTGGAGAAGAAGGTTTGGAAAGGTGTTATAGTGGACGGTTTGTAGAGGGAGTTTGGAGAATGGTTTGTAGAGGTATGTTTAGGGAGAAAGGTTTGGAGAGGGGTTTAGAGAGAACAGTTTGAAGAGAAAGGTTTGGAGAGGATGGTTTGGAGAGAGAGGTTTGAATAGAAAGGTTTCCAAAAGAAGGTTTGAAGAGGGAGGTTTGAAGAGAAACCTTTGGAGAGTATGGTTTGGAGAGGGAGGTTTGAAGAGAAAGGTTTGGAGAAGATGGTTTGGAGAGGGAGGTTTGAAGAGAAAGGTTTGGAGAAGATGGTTTGGCGAGAGAGGTTTGAAGAGAAAGGTTTGGAGAGTATGGTTTGGAGAGGGAGGTTTGAAGAGAAAGGTTTGGAGAAGATGGTTTGGAGAGAGAGGTTTGAAGAGGAATGTTTACAGAAGAAGGTTTGAAGAGAAAGTTTTGGAGCGTATGGTTTGGAGAGGGAGGTTTGGAGAAGATGGTTTGTAGAGAAAGGTTTGAAGAGGAATGTTTCCAGTGGAAGGTTTGAAGAGGGTGCGATGGAGAGGAAGGTTTGGAGAGAGAGGTTTGGAGAGTGAGAAGTGCAGGAGACGAGTAAAAATTATTTACAAAGTTACTGAAGATGAGCAACCAGATTTATTTGAAGTGGGCCTTAAGGTCGAAGCAGTTTTCTTGATGAGATGATATCTGTTACTAAAATCAATTGATCTGCCTTACACTTAATAAGCGTGGGTACGTCTGCGAAACTCTGAGACGGAAGATAAGTCATTTTCCTTTTTACTTATTTATTCACTGGGTAAATAGATGGGTAAATTAAAGACAGAAAGGAAGAAATATTAAAAACAGAATGAGGAGAAAAAAGTAACAGAAAGAAAAGCTGGTTGTAATATCTCTATCTATAAAAGGCAGGATGTGTGTGTGTGTGTGTGTGTTTGTGTGTGTGTGTGTGTGTGTAACAAATGCACGGCCGCAATTATCGACGGATTTGCACCAAATTTTACATGCATATGCTCCAAGTTAGCGGGAAGGCCAACACCGACGTTGCATTTCCCAACTCCCATCGATTTTTTCATGCTTCTACGACAGTTTTCATGTAGTTTTTGGCCATTTGGTACTGGCCAGAGTGAGAGCCAATAGCTGGCTGCCACGAATAGGCAGGAAGATTCTATTGGCCAGCTGAGTGCCAACAGCTGACTGACACGAATTGTAACTAGCATGCTAGCATGCACAAAAAAAATCGATAGCTGCATTCGTCACAAGTGGGAAAAATTTAAATCTGCATGGCACTTTACTCCAATTGGCTCATTCGCTTGTTTAAACTCAACGTTGATTCTGATTCCACAGAACTGGGTTGGGTGTGAAAAGGTATTTGTTGTTAACATTCTTTTTTCATTCGGTTTTTCCAGTTACGAGTCTTTTTTAAAGCTGATCGTTTTGTGTTCATTTTGTTTAGTTCTTTTTTCGTAACAGATTTAATGTTTAGTATAGAGCTTAGAAAAAAATCGCAGTGTGAGATAGGCAAGAAATAAAGCATGTAGCAACATCAGCACGGCAAAGGACACTCCTTTAAAGGCAAGGAAGGGCAAAAATATTTGAAGTGCTGTATGAGTCGTACGATTTTTGAATCAAGCACGGGTAACACCGGGTCATGCTGCTAGTCGTATATAAAGCACTCGAAAACACGGCCTCGACACCTGAGGTAGGGAAGTTCAGTTATGGAAGTAAACCATCCTTTTAATCCGATTCTCCAGTTTAACTACGTCAGGTTCATTCTTCGACTTACGTTACAAGGATGAACACACTCCACAAATTTCAAATGCGATGTATTTCAGATGGTTTCTTTCTTTTTTTTTTTTTATCCTCTTCATATCTTCTCGTCTTCCGTCTCTTGATTTTTCTCTCTTAAGCTTATGACTCTTCTTTTTTTTATTATCAGACTGAAGTATTTATTTACGTCACTTCGACGCAAAAGGCTTTTTAGTGATTTTTGTTGTGCGCCAGGAAGATTTCGTGTTTATATGCAAAGGAATCAAAAAGGGCAAAGTAGAATCCCTCATTAAACAACATTACAAGAATTCCAGGGAAGGTTCTTTTCAAGATTGAGTCTCCAGAAGCAAAGAGCGAATTCTAAGGCCATTTTGAATATGTACGTACGTACGCACCTAACTACCTACGTACAACAACACTCTCTCTCTCTCTCTCTCTCTCTATATATATATATATATATATATATATATATATATATATATATATATATATGTATATATATATATATATATATATATATATATATATATATATATATATATATATATATATATATATATATATATATATATATATATATATATATATATATATATATATATATATATATATATATATATATATACATATATATATATATATATATATATATATATATATATATATATATATATATATATATGAAGATACCGGAAAGCTGGTCTTCTACGGAAATTCTATGCCTTAATTTTTTTTCTATTTTTATGAGAATATTTCTATATATATATAATCATTCGACAAATTATATATATATATATATATATATATATATATATATATATATATAAGCTAGTGACTGCTGAAAAGTTCGCAGCTCTATCAAGAAAATTTGCAAAAAATTTATATATGTTTATTTGAACAGGTTTTGAAAATTGGGTCAAACCAAGAACATGCGACAATTTATCGCATATATATATATATATATATATATATATGTGTGTGTGTGTGTGTGTGTGTGTGTGTGTGTGTGTGTGAGTATGTGTGTGTGTATTCTACAAATACTACAGAACTCTAATCGTGGAAAACTAGTCGGGCAAATTCAATTTTTTTACAGTAATACGAAACATGAAACTGTTGCAGGCCCGGTAGGGTGCAGTGCTGGTTTATTACTAAGTGGCCTTGTGCCAGACACCACACTAAACTACCGAGTCTACAAGCAATGTAAAAAAAATAAATATGTGCGTGAATGAACAGTGAGAGGAAAGGGGTCAATCAACAAGTGCATAAAAAAAAATATATTAAGATAGCCGACTCAGAATGGATTCAATTCAAACAAGAGTAATTTTATTAAATGCAGGAAAACAAGTAACTTCTCCCGTAGTAGGGATCAATGAATATGTTCCGCGCCAAAATTAGAAAAACAAGATGGCTAAAGGCGGGAAGATTCTTGAAGAAGAAAGGTTCCAGTAAGTCAATGTACATGATAATATTCATACAAGGGAAAAATACTCACTGCGAGTTTTTAGGTAATGTGAGTGAATGTTATGTACATATTTTTTTTCCCTTTTTTTTTTGTCCTGGTTCAAAACAGATTTCTGACGAGACCCAAAGTGGACGACGGATTAATATTTTGTATGTTCTGCATCGTCTCGGAGAAGGACTTTGAATGACGAGTCACAAAGGGCCGAAAAGTTAATTCTTTGGTATATGCATCATCTCATAGAAGGATTTTTGAATGACGAGCCAAAAGGGACGCAGAATTAATTATTTGGTGTTTTTATTGGTTACCTGTTGAATACGAAGTTTCTGCCGACGACTGTGTCGTGTCTCTAACGTCTTCTGGTCGAAAACGGAGAAGGTCTGATCTGCGATTAGCAAGTTGTTCGTCAGTAGGATATCCCTGTCTGTATTTATTGGTTCGATGACGAGGGATACAAATAAGCCATTATTAGTTGAATACGAAGATTCTGCCGACGACTGTGTCGTGTCTCTAACGTCTTCTGGTAGAAAACGGAGAAGGTCTGATCTGCGATTAGCAAGTTGTTCGTCAGTAGGATATCCCTGTCTGTATTTATTGGTTCGCTGACGAGGGATAAAAATAAGCCATTATTAGTTGAATACGAACTTTTGCTCACGAGAGTGTCGTGTGTCTCTAAAACGTCTTCTGGTAGAAAACGGAGATGGTCTGACCTGTTGGCAGCTTCAAGACGAGAAGAAGTCTTGGTAGAGTGTGAAGTCGACATTGTTGAAAATAAGATATTCCGGCCCGCGTATGGGTTAAGGGCACGGAATAAATGAGTTGCCCATCTAGTCGGGTCGAAAGTCGAGAGGCAACTGGCTTGCAAACGCTGGCCGTTTGAGACGCCGCGAAACGCGCGGGAAAAAAAATTCAAAATCTGTTATGAGTTCATCAGTAGGAGCTCAAAGTAGGTTACTGCTATGTTTAGCTGTGAGTGAAAGGTAGGGGTGAGAAACGCGCGCGCACACACGCACGAGTGTGAAAGGAAGGGAGGAAACTCGCGCGCGCGTAAAATATAAATGGAATTAATGTGTTAATTCCATAAAACGACTAAACCCCAAAGCTGCATCAAGAAAATTAAGCGGAAGAGTCCGACTTCATTCTTTATTTCTCGTCTCGTTGATAAAGGATACAGGCGTGTCCGAAAATTCCGAATTTCTCTTAGTTATTTGCTTTAGTCAAAAGGTCTACTGATATAATATAAATATCATTAGCTTTATTGATAATATTTTTATTAATTTTTTGTCTTTTTGTTCCCCGGATTTCGTTAACAGGTCTATCAAACACACACACACACACACACACACACACACACACACACACACACACACACACATATATATATATATATATATATATATATATAATTTCTTGCTTTCTGTCTAAAGATACCGGAAAGTTAGTTCTTTTATGAAATTTTATGTCTTAAATTTTTCTCTATTTTTACAAGAAAAATATATAAAAGTATAAGATATTGCATTGAGTAAACTTTTTTTGTCTAAATGTTTTTGGCAAATAATTAAATTGTCTGCTAGGTTTGGAAATGACCATGCATATATACATACACATACATACATACATACATACCTATATATATATATATATATATATATATATATATATATATATATATATATATATATATATATATATATACATATATATATATACACACATACACACATATATATATATATGTGTATATATATATATATATATATATATATATATATATATAAACACACACACACATATATATATATATATATATATATATATATATATATATATATATAAGCATCGGATGCTTTTTAAGAGCACTCAGAATTTGCAGGTTTCAATACTTACAGGAAGAGGGTAAATACATTGAAAATACTTTCAAAATCGCCCAATACCCTAATTATTTCATATTCAATGCGAAACAAAAGGCCCATAAAATATTTTAAAATAGAAAAGCTGCCCTTCCTGACAAGAGCAACGAATAAAAAAATATATATACTTTTCACCAATAAATCCATCACAATTCAAAAGAATTTATCTAAAATAAACATTTGTTCCAAATACATTTCAAACAATATAAGCCTTAATTAATGCTACACAAAATAATAAGCTGAAACCTGAAGGAGGAATTTACTCTGTTGCCTGTAATGATTGAATAAAGAATATATCGGAGAAACCTCAAGAAACCTAAATAAAATAATTTATGAACTCAAAAGGGATAATTTACAAAAGAACACATTAAACGCCTTAGTTGCTCACCGTAACGAGACTGACCATAATTTTCATATAAAATAATGCTACTCTAATTAAAAGAGAAAACAATTCAGATGAAAATATTTAAAAGTGTTGTAATTACTTGATCATCTGTAGTAAATTTGCGCCCAGCCACTCACAATTTTTCACCATTCTTGGAAGATTTTCTATTATTACACTGTGTGATATTTATTAACACAAGTGATGGAAACATGAAGAGAAAAATGTAGCTAAATGAAATCGGCTAGATG